GTCGAACTCAAACTTCGTGGGGAGCCAACTTGTCTTAGCACTAGGCTGTATCCATCCATGTTTCCTCGCGCACCCCGTCTCGTGTTTCCTTTCCGTGTTTCTCCACAGCACCCTCTCGTTTCCTCTCTCGTTTCCCAAAGAAACTCCGTGGAAATCAGCTGGTTTGGGCCCCAAATCAGCCAAATCGGCAAATTACCGGGGTATTTTTGCCGATTTCCTCGGTTTCGTCTCAGATTTTGCCCCAGACCAGCTCTCAGACTCAGGGAAACTCGAGAGTTGCACGGAACGGGCCTCGTTTCAAGGAGGTACGAGTGCGGCCAGGAGCCGCCCTTGGGCTGAACTTTGGAGTTTCTTTTATGAGCTTAGCCTTCGATGTGATGAAAACAAACGCAACGCGGACATGGCATATCGCTCTCGGGCCCACAGACATCCCGCAACGTTAGCCCCACACAAATATAAACAAATAAATAGAGCAGGCATGAAGGACCCGATGGTCCTGTCACATTCGCGTTCCGAGTCGTGGGGGTAGAAGAATTCGAGTAGAATTCGAGTCAGCACTTCCTTGTAGTACAGCGGACCGCCAGGCTCGCCGGCAGCATCCGCAGGGATAGGGTGCCCACAGGACCCAAAAGAAAATAGCTTTCCGGCTCAAAAAGGGACGCACGAGGCAAATCTGATGTTGGCTTGTTCCAATAGCGAATAGGAGCGAGGCCTCTTCCGTTGGGGGACCGAGTTCATAGGAAACGAGGGTTCCCCGGTTTGTCACGCGCGAGCACGAGCGTGACACTGCACTTGGCGCCGAGCGCCCGCGGCACAGACCTTGTGCAAGCCGACCCTCGGTGCAAGCACCGGTCCGGACCGTGGGCGCTCGGTGTGGAGCAAGCAAGACACACCCACCCCCCATCGGCGCGCGCCCGCCCTTCAAACGGCCGCCAGGAGCACCAAGAGGACTCCTCATGGCTGTGGTCAAGGGGGCTTCGACCGGCCTCGGCTGGGGGGGCGGGTTGTCCCGGCTGCGGACACCTTCTGCAGCCCCCTGGGCCCGTGACAGCACCCCAAAACTGCCCCTCGGCGGCATACAGCACTGCCAGCCAGCCTCTTCCTCCTCCTCAAGGGCTGTACTATAGGCCATATTGCGCCGCCTCCTACTAGCAGCCGGGCGGGCGCGCGCCGCGGGCGCCTCGGCGCGCGCACGGCTCGCAAAGTTCGAACGAGTACTCGCCTCGCAAGGCGCGCACCGGCTGCTCTGGCTGCTGCGCCGGCGGCCGCTGCGCTGGCCGCTGCTGCGCCGGCTGGCGGGCGGCACGGCCGCCGGCGGCCGCTGCACCCGCGCCTTCCCTCGCGGGCGCCGTCGCGCCGCGCGCGCCCAACCCTGTTGGTACACGGCACGCGTCGTCACACAGCCGCGGAGAACAGGCGGTGCTGTGCGCGAAGCGCGCGCGATCTCGTACATTTAAGGCTGGATCCGGCCATTCCAAGGGTATACCTTTGAGAATCCCCAGCGTCCCACCCTCCTAGTCACACTCTCAATATCTCGACTAGCCAACATGAAGTGCTGCGATCGGGAGTGCCCCATTTCTTTTTTCTTTCCTTTGTTGGGTCCTGTGGGCACCCTAGCAGGGAGGCAGCATATGAGGCACCAGTTTTCTGGAGAGCTCGACAGCTGCAGCCGCGATGGCGGAGTCGGCCGCGGTTCGAGCGAGCAGCTTTTGGCTGCGGGATCGAATCGCGGAAGGCTCATGCCCTCGCGGAGCGACGCGGGTCGCGCGGCGCGCGCGTGTGCGAAATGCGACAACAGACGACAGAAGACAGAGGTCGCGGCGCGCGCGTGTGCGAAATGCGACAACAGACGACAGAAGACAGACGCCTGAGCGCTGTCGACTGAACTTTTGTCGCCGCAATCGCCACCGCCGCCATCTTGACGAGCAGCGCGAGCGCACTCGTCGGCGGCCAGCCGTCGCGGGCCGGGCCGAGCCCGGCCTCGACCGGCCGCGCCGCCGCAGCAGGCCGGGAGGCCCGAATGGCGGCCGACCAGCTGATTTTTGCTTTCATGGGAGCTGTGACCTGTGTATGGCGGGACCGCTATCGAGTACTACAATGCTGTCTTAAAAAGGTCCGACCTGTGGGCTGCCTGCGCTCGGCACCGGGCACCGCAGCCTCGGTATACAAAATGCGCCTGCGGGCGGCCCTTACTTACAGATCACAAAACCATTCCTGCCTGCATGATCCATGAACACAGCGTCAGTCACGTACACGAGCGGGTATTTATTAGGCATCTCAGGCCTGAACCTGGCGTGGACGCCCAGGCTGATGTATGTATGTATCGAAGGTGAAAACAGCCAGGCTCGGACTGGGACACACGGCAAAGCACCCCTGAAGCCTGGCGAGGTACTCCCACGCCTCTCGGGGTTTTTGTCTGGCCGAGTCAACCGTGCTGGGGCGAGCCTCGGCGAGACTGCGTCAGCTGTTCCCACAGCAGGCTGGAAGTACCTCGCCAGCCTGAGTAGGCAAGGAGAGTTGGAGTATTTTCTTACTTCTACTCTTCGCGGAGCCGGACCAGATACTGGGATACTTCGCAGCTAGCAGGCCTCAAATACTGGGATACTGTAAAAGATTCCCCTTTGAGATATGGCGCAGTAATAATACTTCAATACTCCGAGCTGGTACCGCGGATACTTCGATACTCGTGATGACGCACCCGGTGAGTATCACAGTAATCCATCCACGCCGGCGAAGTATCCCAATATCGCAGAGCTAAATGCCAAGTAATAATACTGCAATACTGGGCGCTACTTGGTCCTCCAGCCCCGCCGAATATCCCAGTATCCGCATCAGAGACGGCCAGTATCCCGCAGTATCCTGCAGTATCCTGCAGTATCCCAGTATCTGGGTTCGGCCCTCGAGCGATGCATTGCGCTGCGGCCGCAGTCGTACATCCGGCAGCGGGATGCGAGGCAGCAGCTAGGTGGGGAGGGGTTGAGCCAATTGAGCAGCGTGGGCAAGCGAAGACTGCCGTAAAGTGTGTGCCCGCGCCCTGCCGGCGCAATGGTGTAAACGCGTGTGCAAGGGCTGGCGGGGTGGGGAAGGCGGCAACGGCACGAGATGGGCGAAGACGGCTGAGGCGCCAGTGCTGGAACTGAGGGAGAGTGTCGTGGCAGTACTGGTGCTGGTGCTGTGGTGTGGGGAGGAAGACTCACATCGGGGAGGCGTCACGGCCGCGAACATTGAGCGCAGCAAGGTGGTCACGTCCTGCGGCGCACGCACAGGAATCATAGTAGATCACACAGCAGCTGTGCCGTAAAAGGGTCCCAGAGCTATCTCGATGGCTAGGGGCGCTGGATTGGCTGGGCGCGTCAGCTCCCACAAGCGCACCGCATGCGATATCAACGTCGTGATGCAGCGTCAGCCTTGGCAATTGAAGCTTGGCGCCGGCACGCAGGAGCACCAGCGTGCTCGCAATGCCTGCAGCGCTTGAATGGCGTGTGCAAACTTTTGCATCTCAGGCGGCCGGGCGTAGCGGCGCCTCTCGCAAGTGACCCCAGGGTGTCGACGGTCGAAAGTTCGAGCGTCATGTCGCGGAAGTTCCTTCGTGTCTCCTCCCGCCAACCCCGCACGACCCCAATCGGCCGCAAACCGCCACACAGCAGGCTCTGGTAACCGACGCTCCTCTTTGCTTGGCGCCGGACCGTCTCGAGTGAACCCACCGGTGTGGGCGCCGCCGCTGAGCATCACCCTCCCTAGGTGTTGAATACCTCGCGGAGCGCAGAAAAAATAAAAAAAGTATTTAAGGCCAGAAATCTTGAATTCATGAATACAACCCTTGTATTCAAGAAAAAAGAATTTCCGCGGGTCGAGCGCTGCGACTCGGACTCGGACGAGAACAACTCGGACAACGAGGAGGACCTGATGGTCTAGTGGCCGCCCTCTGCCCGCGCTCCGCGCGCGCTAGCGGCCTAGCGCGCTCCGCGCGCTCTCCGCGCCGCGCGCTCGCTCCGCGCCTGCACAACTAGCTAGCGGCGCTCCGCGCCGCATGTATTCCGTATGTGTTCCGGCGCTGCGCGCCTTTTTGAATACAGTATTCAGGCTCCTGGGAGACCTCTCTGTGAATTCATGTATTTGTATTCAACACCTAGGAGCATCAGGCAAACGGGTGACGGACCTGCACATAAAACGAATCACCTCGGCCGACCCTGCTAAAACGAATCACCTCGGCCGACCCTGCCGCTGCGGCCGACGATGTCAGATGCTCTCGAGCACTCTCCAGCGCCGGGCGCGGTCCTGACACAGCCGGCCGTGCTTCACCGCCGCTGTTCAGCTCGGCGGCAGAAATGCAGCGGATACGAGCTCTTTACGGACTGTCGAGCGGCAGTCGGAGAACTCGTGAGCTTCCACACATCACAATTCCTGCCGATGCATTCTGGAACAATCACATAACGCCTGCCATCACCACAGCCCACTTGCGACATTTGTGGCCCAAGCCGGTCCGCAGTATCCCAGTATCCCAGTACGTATCCGGTATCCACATCAGCCGGGGATGCTCTAGGGAGGGGTGCAGCTGCATGGTGACAACTACCAGTGAGAAGGATGGGGATGCAGCTGGCTGCTGGACCATGGCCACACTACTTCAGTATTGCGGAGAGAGAGAGATTTTTAGCAATACCATTTGTTTTTGTATTGCGGTGAAAATACTGCGCGATACTGCCATGGCCACACTACTTCAGTAACACAATATCTGCATGCCCCAGGCCCAGTATTGCAGTATCACCCTCGCGGCAGAGAGGTATTTGCGCCACCGATACTTGACCTTCGCTTGCGGGATATTGGGATACTTGGCCAAGGGCCGTGTGCAGGTAGCATGCAGTATTGCAATAAAAATACTTGCTTTGCGTGTCTGAAATACTGGAATATTGCGCCACAGCACCTCGGATACTGGGATACTGGAAATACTGTGAAATACTCCAACTCTCCTTGCCTACTGAAGCCTCCCTGCGCGCAAAAGTTGCCGCGTGTCCCTCTTCGATTCATCGAGACGTCCAACCGCACACGAGGGCGCTCAATGAGACCTCACGCCTCGGCCCGCCGGCGCGGAGTGCGGCACGCCGAGCTGTTGGCCGCGACGTATGCGGCGCTCGCGCGCATAGAGAGAGAAGCCGGCGGCAAGGCGGGAGTCGCTGCGCTCGAGGGAGCGACCATCGCATCTCCAATGGCGCGCCGCGTTCTCGGCGAGAGGCTCGCGCGCCGCCTGCTCCTCCGGGCGCCGCTGGTGTACGGCGTGAGTGGGTACTCTGTGACTGTCGGCCGGGGCGTCCATCCCAACCAGGTCTGAGATATCCTCGCCGCCCGCTGCCCACAGACATTCACCCTGTCGCATCCGTTACGGCCCAATCAGTCCCCTCGCGTCTCCTCCTAGCAGTCGCTATACCTGCCCTTCCTCGTTCCCAGCCGCGCCGCCGCTCCAGACCCTCACGCTCCAGGCCCTCCCCCTTCCGGCCAACCCTTCCAGAGTTGGCCGCGGGTGCTGGATGGACTGCTGCGGCCGGCGTACGAGGGGGCGGGCGGCTCGTTCGAGCTGCGAAGCGCCGCTATGGGCGCACTCCCCTCCTTCCCCACCGGCTGGTGCCTTGGAGAGCTGCTGGGCGATCCAGACGTCGTGACATGGCAGTTCTCGTGCGCTACTCCCGTGGCCAACAAGACGCCACCGCACCGCCACCAGCGCCGCCCGCTTCGCTCGCCCACCGCCGCTCGTATCCTCCACCACACCCCAGCCCTCAGTGCCCTGACCAGGCGCCTACGATGCCCTAAGTCTCACCACGGATCCACTCCTTTTGCAGGATGAACGAGCCGGTGCGGGGCGGCGCCAGGTGAACATTTCACCGCGCGGGGGCACACGCGCGCTGCACGTGAGGGCGAGAGACCTCGGCACACTCCACAGCCCGGGACGAGCACGCGATAGAAAGGCAGACGACTCGCGACTGACAGTCGCCCGGGCGGAGGAGCTCAGGTGCAACCGCGCGTCTGAGGCGTTCGCGCGCGCCGCGCTCGGCATGCACAGCCAGCCGCTCTTCCTGCTCGTCGACGACAATGCGCGGCGAACAGCGAGCCTCTCGCGAGCATTTGAGGCGTCTGGCGCGCATGCGATCGTGCCGTCGCGGTTGCTACCCCTGCGCGGCGCGCTCGCGCCGTGGAACGAGACGGCAGCGCAGATGAAGGCGCAAGAGTGCCCTCGCGAGTGCCGCGTCGGGTCGTGGCATCCCGGGCCGCGACACCACCGAACTGTCGCTTGGGCCATCGCGCAGCTGCACCTGAGCGAGGTCGCCAATGCGCTGTGGAGGTGTCTCCCTCCCTCCTCCCCTTTTCGTGGGCTGCTACATCTCCCCTCACTGCTGCCTCTCACCGCTGCCTCCCGCCTCTCGCCGACGGCTTCCTTCGTCGCCCCCGCCAAGGTGGCGCGAGGCGCGGAGCTGGGGTAACGCCACGCGGGGCGATGCCTTAGCCGTTCCGCCCGTGTGCAGCGCGGAGGCGCCCTGGCGGGCGCCGTTCCCGATCACCGGCTGTGCCACCGCTCTCGTCACGCCTGACACGCACACAGGGCGCAAAGGGCTTGCACGCTACGCCTCCCCGCGGCTGGTCTGGAGCGGTGCCCTCGTGCTGCGAAACGGGAGCTGGCCAGGCGCGCCGCCGCCCTTCGCTTGGGTCGAGACCAGCCAGCCGAGCGCGCACGCTGCGGCGGCGCTCGCGCGCATGCGCCGGTGCGGCAACGACTACGGCGACCACAAGGTCGGCCTGATGGGCACGCAGGCGTCGGCTCTTCTCCCCTCCCTCTCCCCTTCCTCCGCCCTCCCTCTTCTTCACCTCCAAAGGCAGCACTCGACATCGCCTCCCCTCGCAGGCGTCGGGCTGGCTCTCGCTCGCGCTGCCAATCAAGCAGAGCCGCTGCAGGCAGGCGATCGTTTGCGAGGCCCCCGTTGTCTCCGGCTCCAAGCCCGTCGGCCTTGTCGGCACGCAAGCGCAGCTCGCGGGGCCAGAGGTCCACGCATTGCTCACCCACGCGCACCGTGCCTTCCACTGAGAGTCGATGCGGGAATGAGCTCCTGCGTGACTCGGGCTGTGGGAGACGGGGGGGACAGCCCAGTCCTTGCCTATGATAACGCGAGGCCACCGTTGCCTCTCAGGTGGAGTGGGAGATCAGCGGTGGTCCAGCTGCCGCTGCGCGCGTGGAGAACCTTAGATGCCACCAATCACGCAGCGGGCAGATTGTGTCTCACGCAAGCGCGGGGATCACATTGTGTCTCTCGCACGGCAACGTCGTGCCGGCAGTGTAGACCTGAGTGCACGGCGGTAGGTGGAGGACCCATTCGACAGGTCCTTCGCCACGTACGGCACGCCGGCGCAGCTGGGGACCAAGCGGAGTAGCACCGTCTGCATCGTGGTGCGCGCAGACACATTCGACCCCCCAACCAACCAACAAACCACGAGGAGGAGCAGTCGCGTACTTGACAGTTGCCCCCTCCGCCTACGCGTGAGGGCCGAGGGGGTCTTTGTTCACGTCACGCACGTCATTTGGTAGCAACTGTGGTTACGTGGGTGGAGGTGTTTTGACTTTTGTTGGTGTGTGTTACTTCCTTCTTATTTTCTGTTCTTCTTCTTCTTCTTCTAACTATTAAAATAGTTTGTGTGTTGCATATCGGCACTCGCACAGCCTCACACCTCGCGGACTCTCAGCATCTGATTTCGTGTGGTGCTAAGCTCTCGCGCCGCGCCCTCCCCTTGCGGCTGTCAACCCATGCACGCCCTCGCATGCCCGCAAACGCAGCCGCGCCAAACAGGGCGGCAAACGAGGAGAAGAAATTCACGCACTCGACGTCGCATCGGGAGGCGCATACACACAAGTCGAGGAGTACAAAGCAGATGCTGAGCAGCACGGCGAGCGGCTTCTCGCCGAATCGGACCGGCGTCCGGTTCGACTCCCTCAATGACGGCAAGCCACAAGAGATCACCGCGTGCGAAAACCAGTCGTCCGGCTGGAAGCCGAGCGACGCGCCCGACGCCACCGCAACGATCCACATCGCCTGCTGGGCCTCGCGGAATTCGAGGATCGCCAGCTCCAGCTCTGCCCTCGATCGCAGCAAGTCCATTCCACAGGCGAACGCGCAGGCAATCGCGGTCATTAGAGTCAATGTTCGGCCGACTGTCCGGGCCGTCGCCACAAAACTCGAGAGGATCACCGCCACAGTCACTGCGAAAACCACTTTTGCCTAGTCGAGCATTATTATGAAGGATTATTAATGGGACGATCCCATTATTACGAACGAAGAGCACCGGAAGAGAGCGTGCCTCTGGCAGCGACTCCATCTCCAAGCAGCCGCTCGCCGCAATCGCGACCAGAGTGACCGCGCTGGGTATCAGTATGTTCGGGTGCAGGCCGCCTTGGAGGCGACCCGCCTCCCCCCGAGCGGCCACAGCGCTCTTGGTCAATAGAAGCGGAGGAGGTGAGGGCGGCGCGCTTTGCTGTCCGCGCGCCTGCTGCTGACCCGAGAGGCCTGGAGCGGCCTGTGAAGGGTGCTCGACGAAGTGACGAAGTAGGGCCTGCTGCTGCAGCTGGAGCTTCGCCATACGCTGCTGCTGGGCCCGCGGTAGCTGGCTCACCAAGGGTTCCAGCTGCTGCTGCAGCGCCATGAGCGTTTGATTTGGAAAGTGCGAGGCAAACCGAGGGCTCGGCACGGCGAGGTTCTGCGGTAGCAGCTCCTGCTGCGGACTGCTCGCGGGCTGCACCAACGCCGATGGTGTGAGCGTCTGCTGGTGCTGCAGAGAAGTGCTCAGCGTGAAAGCTAGCAACGCGTTGACAACAAGCGATATCAGAAACCAGGCAGGTCGTCTCGCTGAGCCATCAATCTTGACCGAGTCAACAGAGGACATGGAGCTTGAGCGCACGAGGCTTGGCTTGAGCATTGCGATGCGTCGCGACTCTCCTGTGGGGAAGACAAGGTGGCTCACGGAAGGGTGGAGAGAGAGCAGCGGAGAGATGTGGAGGCCAGCGGTCGGTGCAAGGTCAAGGGGCGGTGCACGTGATGTCAATTGACGGCGGCGCGGCGGCGCCGGCGAGGAGGGCGAATGGCGTGCCTTGGCAAAATGCCTTCGACGCCCCCGACACCTTGTAGGAGGCCTTGCCGAGACTTGGTTGTCGTAACGAGTGCCCTGATTTACGCCCCGGCGGGGATGGATTTGCAGGTTTCCCCGTGCCGCGAGACTTGGGCATGTATCTCCCGCGATGTGTCGCGGACAAACCCAAGTAGACACCCCTTGGGCGGGTATCGCGTCTTACTTACACAAGAGGAACTAAACACATCGCTAGTCATGTACAACAATCATGAGAACCGGGTCCAGGCTCCCTCCATAGTGAGGTGGTGTCCCAGTCTAGCGCACCTCGCGCCCGGCGGGCGGCGACCTGTCCGTCCACCGACCCCTCCGCCCGCGCGTGCCAACGCCGCCTCCACCGCCGAGTCGAAGAGCCGATGTAGCCCAGGGAAGTCGGCGGCCGCGCGAGCCCGACGCCTGCTCCTGCTTGCGCACGCCTGCGTATCCGGTGCTGCTGCGACTCGAGAGGTGCTTACAAGGCTCGCCGCCTCCACCGCCGCCAGCCCTGCGCCTCTGTCACCACCGCCGGCGCCTCCCCCGCGGGGCCCGTGTGGGATGGACCTGCGAAAGCGCGGGGAAGGGAGAGTGCATTCAGAAGGCAGAACCTGAGCACAAGTGGGGGGCTTGCTCGTGAGCCTTGACTTGCATCGACTTGATTACAACGCGGAGCCATCGAGGGAGCCAGCGGCGGCGAACCGAGTAGCATGGGCTGGCGATTTTAAATAAAGAAGCTCTGGGGGGCGGCGGGGGCCCCCGGAGGCACCGTGCGCCGCGCAGCAGTGCGGACGAACGGGGCCCGGCGCTCATACTCGCTCATACTACCAACTTCCCGAATGATCGGTTGATCAGAGGGCAGATTTGGAGAGATCTCGAGGAGTACATACAGATAGACCCTCCAACCATCAGAAAACTCCGACCTGATCGGTCGTACTGACCGCCGACAGATCACTCCAGACAGCAGACAGGCCGACGTCTGTACGCGGCCGGCCGGGCGAGAGGCTTGACACGATCCGACCCTGCGACCGTGACGCTGCTGGTCTAGCTATCAGACATGCACTGCTGACTGCTGCCACAATGTGCGACCTGTGCTGGCCCACTTGGCGGCCTTCCCGGTCAGTGGTGAGGCGCAGTTCAGAGCTGTCGATGGCGCGATGCCGCACTGGTCCCACATTGGTGACACGAGACCACCAAGTTTGCCGGTCCAAGAGAGAGGCACCGGCGCTGCCCTGAGAAGGTGCGTGGTCCCTCTTGACTGCCCATGCGCGCGAGGCTGTGTAGGCATAGCCTCGAGAGTGCCAGCAGCCAATCCGAGGCAGTTTGTGACGGGCATTGCGTCAGAAGCGTGCACGCAGCTGGAAGGACACCTTCCTACTGGCCGTACGATCAGGTCGTCACTGAATGCTGGATACTAAGGCCGCGAGCTATGCGGGTGGTCAATTGTGCAGCAGGGCACGGTCAGCAGCGCCGACAGGCTGTCGCAAGGCGTGATAGCATGGCCGCAAGGACGCCGAATTCCCATGAAAAACAAGTGAAAAATAGCGCAAAAAAACTCAAAAAAAATCGGCGCCTGCGGCGGGCCATGGGACCCCATCTCCCCCCCGCATGGGTATCCTCTAGGGCCCTCGCGCCTCCCCAGAGTACAAACTACAATAAAGAAGACCCAATTCCAAATCCAAATCGCTGATGTACATCATGTCAAATCGCAACTAGAGTACGTCAGTAGTCAGTACAAACATGCATGTGGCATAGGAGAAGGAAGAAGGGGGGATAAAGAAAACGGACACCATTACTAGGGGTCTAGGAACGCTGGTTTTTAGGATTTATTATTTTAACAGGGTCTCGAGAGGTAAGACTTAAAGGGCGGGGGCCTGTTCCTTTTTAGATTTTACCCATCTCACAGACACAGTAGAGAGGTGTCCGTTTTTATTTATTTATTTAAGACTTGCTTGAAGGTTTCATCACCTTTCACCCGTACCCGTGCTGCTCTGGGCCGATCACCATCATTATCAATATGGCCACTAGATGAGGGACATTTAAGCTATGCCTCATCAGGAGTGCTCCAAGTGCCTTAGGAGTTTCGCGCAACGGGAGCGGCGATGCTCTCGTCTACTTTGCTCTTGACCACCTGTATGGCGGGCGCGATCCACGCGCCGCAAGAGCACTGCATGCCCGCCCAATGATAGCCACCCAGCCTGGCCGAGCACCTGGCGGTCGTGCATATGCAGGGGCGAATGTAAACGTGGAAAGTGTGTGAGGCGGGGTAGAGAAGGAGGAGCAAAAATTCAGAGCGGCGCGCAACGCAAGTGGCAAGAGCGGTGAGTGACGCACCTCGGGCAGCAGATCTTGCCCTCAATCTCCGTGAGGGTGGAGGTGGCATCGGGATTCAAAAAGTGCGAGGTGCAGCCGCGGGCATCGGGCGCCGCGTCGCGCTTGCCGTACCTAGCGAGTTCAACAAAGCCGGGATTAGAACATTGGATGGCGGCATGGGTGGCTGGCACCTGGCGGACCGAAACGCGGCCTGACCCCTGCCCACCTCGTGCGTCTCGAGCATCGCAGCGGAAAAAACCGGCGTTCGGCATTTCCGGCAGCGATACCACACGTCGCGCCGAGGCGCGCCCAGGGCGCCGTCGCTGCCGTCGCCGCCCTTGCCGCTGCTGTCGACGCCGTTGCCCTCGACGCCACCATCCTCACCAGCCTCGCCAGCAGCAACCTGTGCCGCCGCCGCACCGACAAAGTCCGTCACCAGCGCCGCTGTGTTGTGCCGCCGCGGCGGGTAGACCCGCGGCGGCTCCTCGGCGGTCTCTGGGAGGGGATGCACAGGCTGCTCCTCTTCCGCCTCATTCCCATTCGCACCGTCGCCACTGCCGTTCGACTCTCCCGCGGCATCCGCTGCGGCTGCACCGCTAGCGCTAGCGGTCGTAGAGTCGCACCTCGACGCCACTGGCGGGACCAACCAGCTCGCCGCCGCGTCACCGCCGCGCCCCTCACCCTGGTGCCCATCGCTTCTCCACGCTTTCGCCAGCTCCGCCGCCTCGGTGGCCTGAGCGGAGGACATCCGGCAGCCGGGGAAAAGCGCGCGGCAGAGCGAGAAGGCCTTGGCGACGGGCTGCTTCGCGCTCGCCGTGGCGGTTGCCGCGGTGTACGTGACCGCCAGCCAGACTGCAGGCGAAGCCGCCACGCAGACGGGCCCGCTCACGAGTACACATCCAGAGGAAAGCCCGGCGTCGATCCAGTCGCACGACTCGCGCAGGAGCGCAGGCGCAGCGCCGCTCTCGAGAGCTTTTCCCGCATGTCTCACGAGGCACACCTCGGCACCAAGGCGCGAAGCTGCAGCCACGGCCGCATCCAAGGCGGACTGGAACGGATCGTCGGACTCTGCGGTGGGATCTTGGATCGCGATGAGGATGCGGCGAACGCCCAGCGCCTCCAAGAGCGAGCAGTCGGCCGAGACGGCCTCGAGATCGCCCAGGAAGAGGTCCGGCGCGAGCCGCTTGGGCACGTGGGATCGATCGCTCATGTCAACGCGAAAAAAGAGAGAGCGCGCGCCGCGCGTAGGGCCCTTAGGGGCCTAGAGAACACACCCCTTCTCTCTTTTCTCCCAGTAACCTAAAAGTACATACACAGATTCTCCCAGTAAGCTAAAAGTACAAAAGAGACTGCCCAGGGCAGCACTGGCAAATGCAACGCGCCTCATGTCGGAGAGCGACCGTGCCTCGTTCGCCGCTGATGTACGCTGATGCGGATGTAGAGTTTGTTGTAGAGATTTCACGTTGTAGAGCGCCTCTACATCGCTCTACAACGCACCCGCCTCGTCCCGCGGCGGATGTAGAGCTCTACAGCTCTACAGCGCTCTCCATCTCTACAGCTCTACAGCGCTCTACACTCTACATCCTCTACACCCTCCCTCAGTGCATGTGGCATTGCTGCCGTCAAGTTTGGTGTCGAGCCACCGCCCCGCGTAAGGCTGCGAAGTTGAGACGTAGCGGATGGACTCGCGGCAACGTATTTTGGTGTCGCCGGGCTGCCAGTTGGCTGTCTCAGTAAACTAAAAGTACGTACAAAAGGCGGGAGGTCAATCGAGGCGCCGGGACCTTCCTTCTTCCATGTCGCCGCAAATCCTGCTCGCGCGGGCGTCGTCGAGCGAGACTTTCGTCCCATCTCCTTGCAGTCTTCAGAGCGTAGCGCCGACGCGCTGTCGGCGCAGGCGAATACTGATCGGCAGCATTGTCGGGAGTCTGGCGAGTCTTGCATTGATCGTTGTTGCCGCACCGGCGGCACCCCTGTCATTGGTCAAGCGGAGCGCTGCCTTTGCGTCTATTTACTGGGGCTTCGAGAGCACCCACTCCTCGCTTTCCGGCATCGACATTGCTAACCTCAGCTTGTGCACTCTCTTCTACAACGGCACGGATGCCGATCAGGCGTACCTCGCTGATCAGATCGTGGCCAATGCGCGTTACGAGGCGGGGCTGCCGCCCCTTGCGCCGGGTGAAGCAATGGCCCATGGAGGCAAGTTTTTCACGATTGTGCATGAGCGGTTTGTGTGCGGAGGCGACGAGAAGATGGCGTACCGCAACGTCTGGAAGGGTGGCAACAATTTTATCCGCGGCAACATGCAAGAGGGCATGGAGAATTGCACCGCGGCGAGCAAGGGGCTCAGCGTCAACGTGGACAAGGCTTTTGAATTCTCCTTCGTGCGAGATCCTTTCTCGCACTTTGTCTCGGGCTATCGCGAAGCGACGATGCGCACATACAAGCAGTGCTGCAACGCCCCTACTCAAGAGGGCGCGCTACCCACACCCCGCGGTGAGTGGCCGCGGCCTATTCGTGAGTCTCAAGAGCTCGGATGGCGGTGCCGGTACGACTGCAGCCTGTTCGTCGGCGAGGGCACGAAGTCCCTCGCAAAGGCGGTGATGAGCGACATTCTGGACCTGAGTCTGTTTCACGGATCCCACTGGAACCCGAACTTCGTACACGTCGCGCTCATGTTCGCCAACATCTTTGGCGAGAGGAGCTGGCGCAGACCTGATTTCATCGGGCGACTGGAGTCCATCGGCTCGGACTGGGACCGAATGTGCGCCCTCCACGGCTGCCCGGAACGCCTCGCTACGTACGGCAAGCTGGATGAGAGCACAGGGCAGCACAAAGAGACGTCGAGCGACCAGTACGGACACGGCGCAGGCCTGCTAGCCTTGTTTGAGGAGGAGCCTCGCCTGAAAAATGCCATCCGCAAGCTGCTTCGCCTGGATAAGGACTGCTTGCGTGAGCACACCGCGCCCGCAAGCGGCACGACGGGAACGCGGCGGCTGCGTGACGCGGGCGACTTCATCGAGCTGGACTCGTGGCTCGAGCGGTGACAACGAGACAAGCGTGACACAACCATATACTCTCTCTCCAGGTTGCTGTTAATGGTACACGAAAAGCAATGCCGGGAGCGCAGCCAAATCCAGCAACCTGGTGCGTGTCCCTCCGAGTCTAGCTCTGCTCGCTTCTTTTTCTCTTCCTTTTCGCTGAACTTTTTCGTGACGGGTACGCGCCCCCCGGGTGACCGACGCGAGAAATAGTCGGGTGTCCCGACGGGCAGGAGTCCTCCAGACTAGCCTCCAGAGACCGGTGCAGAGACATTTCGTGAGCTGTGAAGCGACCCAACGATTTCTCATAAAGTATGAAGGGCCCCAAAGTGATCTGTCGGCGGTAAGTACGACCGATCAGGGTGGAGTTTTCTGATGATTGGAGGGGGTCTATCTGTGTGTACTCCTCTCGAGATCTCTCTAAATCTGCCCTCTGATTAACCTAGCTTAATCGGTAAGTTGGTGCTAGTAGAGACTAGTAGAGCCGGGGCCCGCGCGGCGCGCGGTGCCTCCGCCCCCCCCCCGCGCTCCCCCAGAGGCAGAGCCAACCAAGGAGCCAACAGCAACACAGAGGGTCTTTTTTGGACGAAAGGACAGGAGTCATGACTCCAGCCGCTGTTTACCCCAGCCACACATCACACTCCATCGCACCATGGCCCGATCCACCTGCCTTCCGTTGAGGCTAGGGGCGCGAACGCGGGGCACGCAGGGTCGCCGGTAAGCTGCGGCACCTTGGTCGCCTCATACTGAACGGCGAGCGCCCGCAGCCGCGCCACGATTGCCTCGTGCTTCCCCACGTCAAGCGCATGCCGCTCTCCATCGTCAGTCGGGAGGTGGTACAGCAGGACGTCACATGCAGCTTTACGTCTGAACAGGGGTGACAGACCCTCGAGCAAGGACAGCTTGTCGTAAGTCGCGTTGATCCGACACGACGACGCGACGTGGGGCAGCTGCTGCGGCGACCACTGGCCCTGCCCACCGCCCGACGAGCTCAGTATCAGCTTGTAGCCTTGCACGTCGCGCACTGCCGGCCCGTCGTGCTTCTGGGAGATCCCGTAGTAGACCGACTTGCGGGGCGACGTACCTGCGTCGCGGCGGCGGCGTGGCGCTCTCGCTAGGCTACTCATATCGTGCAGAGTGGGCGCGCAGAGTGGGTTGGGCGAAAGGCGGGGCGAAAGGTGGGGCGAAAGGTGGGTGGAGGTGTGGGAAGGTAAGAAAGAGGGCGAGGGAGCTGATCGTGGGGTTTAGGTTTGAGGGCGCCGTTGGACAGAAGAGCGTCCCACAAGTCGAGGCCGTCGAGCGAGAGCGTCTCGTTGGGCCAGAGTCGCGACCCAACGGCGCTCACGATTGTGGGCAGCCAATCGGCAGCGTGCGCGAGGCCAGTGAATGTCACGCCCCGCCGCGGCAGACCCTGCCAGTGGAGGAAGGCAGTGCCTCGGGTGCCGCCCTCATAAATGGAGCACTTGGAGCCGCGGAACGGCCAGTTGGATTGCCCCGTGGTCGAGCACTCGGTGGTGGGGCCGCCGTTGTCTGTCGTCACGACGATGAGCGTGTCGTCAATCATGTCTCGCGCAGCCAGCGCCGCGGTGACGTTGCCAATTCCCTCATCCAGAGCCGAGATCATCCCCGCAAACGTCCGGCGGACGGGGTCGGCGATGCCCTTCTTGTATGGCTCGACGTACGCTGCGGGCGCCTGCCGCGGCGCGTGGACTCCTTGGTAGGCGAGGTAAAGGAAGAGCCTGCTGCTCAGGTTGTGCTGCGAGATGATCTCTACTGCGCGCGCGGTGAACAGGTTGGTGGAATACTGTCCCTGCAGGTGCCACGGCCGCTGCGTGCAGCCAGGACCGCAGAAAGGAGCCCGCTCGTCGTGAAAGTCGAATCCGCCGTTGGTCACGTGCGTGTAGTAGTCCTCGGAGCCCTCATAGTACCCGTAGAAGCTGCTGAATCCGCGGAAGGTTGGTGTGTACGGTGTCTTATGGAACCCAAGATGCCACTTCCCCACGGCGTGCGAGGTGAAGTTGCGTCGGTTGAGCACCTGCGCCAGCGTCACCTCGTTCAGCGACAGACCGGCGGCGATGTTTGGCAGCCAAAAGTTGATGCCCGTGTGCAGCGGCTTGCGCCCCGTCAGTATGGCAGCCCGCGTCGGGCTGCAGGAGGGCTGGACGTAGTACGAGGAGAGATCGATGCCCTGCGAGTGGAGCCGATTGAAATGAGGCGTGAGAATCTGGCCCTCGTTGCGAAAGCCGAGGTCGTCGTAACCAAGATCGTCGATCACCGTCATGATGACGTGCTTGGGACCCTTTTGCTCCGCGCGGACGGGGATCGTCGTCGTGAGAAGTGGAGACAACCAATGTAGCATGTTGGCTGGTTGGCGTACGACTTGAAGAATTCGCGCGGGCCGCAACTCAAGATTGAAGATCCTGCTCGTGCAGGTGGGGACCCTGTCCTTCTCCCACCCCTCGTTTGGCGTGCCCGTTTTATTTATTTATTTATTGGTGTGCGCGTGTGTGTGTGCACACAGAAAATCAAAATGCATTATCTGACTATGTCACAACTTGCCGGGCGGCAAACCGACCTGTTAGGTTTCGAGGCTCACAAGCTAAGAAGGATGTTCCAGTGCTTGCCATTTATTTATTTACTGGTATAGCCCACCAAAACAACAACCAAACACTCTACGGCCAAAACAATAAAACGGTGGTAAGATTTACCACGACTTCTGAGCTGTTTTTGTTGTGTCGACTTCTGAGGCAAAATCTGACAAAAATCGGAGAAATCGGCAAAATACCGGGTATTTCCCCAGGTAGGGTTTCCCAAGGTGTACCCGCGCAAAATACATGTGCCGGGTATTTTGCCAATTTTGCTGAATTTGGCCGCAAAACCAGCCTCAGACTCGGCTCGCCAGAGCCCAAAAAACCTTGATGATTCCACGGAGTTTCGTATTATTTTTTACCATACCACTGAATCAAAAAATCCACTCATTTACCAGCAGTAAAAATGGCAACCGCACTGGCGATGTAGTTCACAGGCCCTCTCTCCGCATGGCCATGGGGGAGCCCCTTCGCAAGGAGTAAATTCACCTTGCACATCAAGGTTCATGGCGGCACGTACTACTGCCAAGCCGTGAGTGAGTCCATCGCGGCCGGCGTTCCAGTCGTTGTCGACCGGCAGACCAACGAGATCGGGATGTTTGACGGCCTGATCGAGCACAACGTTTCAGGTGTCGTCCTAGACAATGTCGATGACATCGTTAGGTACATCGAGACCGTTCCAGACGCGGAGTATCGGCGGTTGCGTGCGTCCACTCGACGCTTTGGGAGTAGATTCAGGGCCCTGCCATCTGATGAGCAAGCCGCAAAGATGAAGCAGTTCTTTTGGACCGTGTACCGTGATTCTGTGTTTACGATGTAAAGAGCCGTGCTGCGGCCGATGTGATTCTTAGAGGTTTTGACTATTGTGTAGAGTGTGACTCCATATACGGCTTTAGACCTTTGCGCTCTCCTTTCTACATACACAGATAGAGGGCGCCGAGAGCAGAGGCAGAGGGTAGTCTACCTGTCTACGTACGATATATCAACGCCTCTTGAAGGGCCCACGCTTCCCACCCGGCAGCTTGCCCGCCTTCTGTGGCTTCGGGGCAGTTTTCGCTTTCCCACCGCCCTGCTTCCTCCTCTTCGCACCGCCTTCGCCGCTGCCCGCGCCGCTCTCCCCCGTCGATGCCCGGCCGCCGCCGGACGCCGCCTGCTTGGCTAGCGCGCGATTACTCAGCCGCGTCGGCTCAGCGTTCGCTGGGTCGTCGGGCCACGGATGGCGCTTGTACTTATCTCGCAGCTCTGCGCGCACCTGCGCATACGGCCCCGCCCAAAACGAGGGCAGATCCGCCGTGATGGCGGCGGCGCGGCCAGCTGGCGTCAGCAAGTGGAGTAGCACTGGCAGCGCCGCGCCCCGCGGCCCCACGGTTGGCGTGTCGACAGCGCCAAAGAATTCCTGAAGCTTCGCCGCCAGCACCGGCGGCGTCGCCGCACCACCGCTGCCCTCACGACCGCTGCCCTCTCCACCCTCACCCCGCGGCGCGAGCGGGTCCTCGCCGTCGCGCACATAGTTTAGCTGCACCAAAGCCCCCGACGGCACCTCGAGCCGTGCTGGCGCCTCCATTCTCAACCTCGTCTGCAGTGCATGCGGCAGAGACTGCTCGAGCAAAACCGGCAGATCGGCGGCGGCCAACTGCTTGAGGCTTGTGGCGGTGGCGAGAGCGGGGACTAGCCAGCCGGCATGGTCCTCGGCGCCAGCCATCAGCCCCGCCTCGTCCCACACTGGCCACCCGCCCTTTGGGTCTAGGGCTCGTAGCAGCCGCACGCGCGCAATAAGCTCGAGCGCCGGGTGCGTCACGCCACCCTCGCCGCCAAAGAGAGCGCGCCGCAGCCCACGCTCCCGTAGCAAGCTCAGCAGCAGCGGCCGCGCCTGCTCGGGCGGCGGCGTGGGCAGCGGCTCCTGCGAGAGAATGAGCGCTCCCAATCGCTCGACCCGCCGCGCCCGCACAGAGCCGTCGGAAGGCGCGACAAAAACGTCGTCGCTCCATCGGATGGCGCTGCCGGCTAGCGCCGCCCGCAGTTCGGAGAGGGAGAGCGGCGCCGCCAAGTGTATTCGCGCAGACCGCTTGTCGCCGCCATCGAGCGAGAGGCACACGAGATACTCTGCTGAAGCAAGCGGCTCGGCAGCGGCGGCAAAGGAAGCTCCACGGCCGTTGCTGAGCGAGAAGGTGTTCTCCTTGCCCGGCTGCCGCTGCGCGATGCGGTCAAAGTAGCCGCCGGAGAGGAGCGCGCCAACGGTCTCCACCTGTGCCTCGAGCGTCGGTGTCGATCGCCGTGCTGCCTCTGCCGCGAATGCCGCGGCCAATCCGCTGCTGCCGCCTTGCTCCCCGCCGCCCCCGCCACCAACCGTGCGGCCAACGCGACCCGCCTGCGCCGCCAAATCGAGGGCGTTCCGCTTTGCGCGCCGCCACGCCCCGGTTGCCGCCTGCGGTCCCGGCTCCGCCTCGAGCAAGCAAGCGACGCGCGAGCGCAAGTCCGCCCCGTGCGCCCGCCCGCCGCCCGCGAGCACGTCTCGCTCCTCCACCACCGCCACCGCCGCACTCGCAACTTCCAACGCCGCGCCGCCCGCATCGCCCGAAGCCGCGGCTGCGGCGCGCAGCAGCACATGCGCAAGACGCGGGTGGGCAGGCAGCCGCGCCAAGGCGGTGCCGTGCGGCGTGAGGGCGGCAGCACCGCCTCCAAGCGCCCCCAACCCAGAGAGCAGCGTGCGTGCGCGCTCCAGCGACGCTGCGGGCGGCGGCGTCACCCACGGCAGCGCTGCCGCCGCCTCATCCGACACACCGGCACCCCACGCACCCAGCTGCAGCAGGAGCGGAGCAAGGTCCGCCTGGGCAATCTCGGGCTCCGTCTGCGGCGCGAGGCGGAGATGCTCCTGCTCGCTCCACAAACGATAGGCGGTGCCGGGCGCAACTCGACCCGCGCGACCAGCGCGCTGCTCCGCCGCAGCAGCAGAGATGGGACGCGTGACTAGCGCCGACATGCCGACGGCAGCGTCGTAGGCGGCGGCGCGTCGCAAGCCCGAGTCAATGACGAGCCGAACGCCCTCGATGGTGAGGGAGGATTCGGCGAGGTTGGTGGAGAGGACAACTCGCCGCCGCCCCTCCGGGTCGGGCGCCACCGCCGCCCGCTGCTCCTCGAGCGGCATCGCGCCGAACAGCGGGCAAACGCGGAGGGCGGCGCGGCGCGCGGCGGGCAGCGCGTCAGCCAGCCTCGACTCGACGCCTCGGATCTCCCGCTCTCCCGGCAAAAAGACGAGCAGGTCGCCTTGCGCGGACTCGGCGAGAGCGCTCAGCACCGCCTCCGCCACCGCCTCCTCCACCTCTCGAGGGTGCCCCGCCGCCGCGAGCGCGAGCGGCCGGGATCCGCTGAGGTGGCGCCGCTCGACCGGGAAGCAGCGGCCGTCCGAAGTCAGGGTCGGGCAGCCGCCGAGTGTGGCAGCGACGGCCGGGCCGAGGGCCTCACCCAGCGTCGCCGACATGACGACCAGCCGCAGCTCTGGCCGCAGCTCCGTCTGCGCCTCGCGGCAGAGGGCCAGAGCGAGGTCCGCGTCGACGGACCGCTCGTGGAACTCATCAAAGATGACGCACGCGACACCTTCGAGAGTCGGGTCGGCCTGCAGCTTGTTGACGAGGACGCCCTCGGTCACCACGAGCACCCGCGTCTCGCGGCTCGTCTTTGATTCATGCCGCACCCGGTACCCCACCTCGCCGCCGAGCGGCTGGCCGAGCAGCGATGCCATCCGCGCTGCGGCTGCCCGAGCGGCGACGCGCCGCGGCTCGAGCACCATGATGATGCCGTCTGCAAAGCCACCGTCACGGAGGAGAGCCAGCGGCACGGCGGTGGACTTTCCGGCGCCCGGCGGCGCCTCGAGCACCAGGTTGGGCTCCGAGCGCAGAGACGTGACCACGTCCGGTAACAGTGGTGCAATGGGCAGGCCGGAGGCAAAGTCATGTGCGCGCATGCGAGGTGTGGGCGGTGGAGAGTGGCGTGTTGTCAGAAGACGTGCCGTCTGGGGTAGGCATGAGGATGTGAGCGGCGCGAGGAGCGGCAGGCACAGCGCCGCCATTCCAAGAAGAATAAGATGCGGCTTGCAACTGGTAGCCGCCCATAAACAGGCGCGCGCAGCGCGCCCAGGGGCGCCGCAGGCGCCCCAAGCGGCGCGGAGCGCCGCCGCAGGCGGAGGACAGCAGGTGCGCGAAATTAAACGCCATTTTCGGTTCCGCGGTTTTGCCACTAACATTGAAATCCGGTACAAAACGACTTAGCCGAAACAGCTGACAGACAGACAGAGAGCACACGCGTTCGAGACGGGGGTGCGCCGACCGCCGTCGCGGACCCAGTAGAGCTAGATGGTCCCACAGGATGCGCCCTTAGCCTCTGAGCTCGTCCTAGACGTTTTAGGGAAGCGTGGGCAGACCAGAACGCGGCCACGGCGACCTCCGAGGCTGTCAGCAGCGCTGGCGGCGATCGTGGCGACGGCGCCTCGCCGCTGCAGCGGCACAGAATCGAGGAAGTGGCGTTGGTGGCAGCATCAATGAGATATGAAGGCGGCCGTAATGCTGTTGGCGCCTTCGAGGGCGGCGGAGAGGGCGCTAGCAGCGACGGCGATCGAGTCATGTGGCAGGGGTGCGAAGATGCAGCAGGGAGGCTTAAGTTAGCGACGCGGGGCGGTGGCGTGCCAGCAGGTAAGCGGCGGCGGCGGAGAGCAGGTGCGCGAAGTAAAGGCCAATCTTGAGATATCCATTTTGCACCATCTTTGGATTTCTGGTACCAATTGACTTGTGGATCTTGAAGGCACGCGCAAGAGCGCACCAGGCAAGTTGACTGAACCTCGGATCTCGCTGCCGCTAAGCGTGGCGTCGATTATCAAACGAGCGGTGACAGTAGCGGTGGCAGCGGCGGCAGCGTCGACAGGAGCACCTACTGCAGCGTGAAATGTGAGCTGGGAGGCGGGAGGCAGATGCAATAGGAGCGGGAGAGTGAGATCGTCAGCCAGCACGGCAGACCTTTACGGCGCGGCTGCGGGCGCGTTTGCAAGTGCTCCAAGTGATTCACGAGGTGCATATCCTTTGGCCGCGTTGGGTAGCGAGGATTGGTGTGACGCGATCCACGCAGGCGTAGATTGATGTGAGGGCGCGGAGGGTTTGTTGGCGAGCCAAATTGGTGATGTCCGAGGCGCTGCGCTAGGCTCAGAGCGAGTTCGCGCTGCGCTAGGCTCAGACGGCGAGTTCGCGCTGCGCTAGGCTCATAGATGGCGAGTGCGCTGCGATAGAAGACAGGAGAGAACCACCGACAACCGAAGGATGGGATGGGAGGCGGATACCAGCGCTTTTTGCTTGTGGCGGCATGAGAGCTGGCAGCGTGCACCTCGGATTGGGTTTACAATTCGACACTGATGAATTACCTGAAGGAGGATGCTCATCGCACTGCAAAAAAATGGCTTCAGAATAGTGGGCTGCCATTCATTCTTGTGACAGATGGGACCACACTTGATGCGGGCACGCTCCCACTAAAATTCAGCCCGACACTAATTCAGAAGGACCAACCAATGAAATACATGATTGAGTCACACTGGTGTGCGGAATTTCTTCCTTGGCACATCATTCGCATGGTTCTGACCTTGTTGATGTAGAGCTGGCGAGCCCCCCCCCCCCCCCGACATGCTGTGCGACCGCCTTGTGTTTGAAATTCTTATGTCCTGGGTGGTGGCCGTCTGGTTGAAGGGAACAGCAGCTGGCGCTCAACTGCAGCGCGAGCGGCGCAGCCACACCACTCCGCCACGTGTCATTTACATCCACGCGGGACTCCATTTGTGTTCGCAGGCGGCACCCTAGCTAGCTTCCGATCGTTCGCCGATATGTTCACAACCGCTACAAAGACGCCCAGTCGACAAGTCGCGAGTCCTGCTGGAGTCCTGTCTCTTTTCCTGATTTCCTCGAGCGTGTGAAGTCTCCTGTGCGTCCGTCCGTCTGGAGTTAGTCGGGTCACCCTCGGCATGCTCCACAATCCCAACCACCAACCCCTGCGCCGCCGTCGCCGCCAAGTGCGCCCGACTCCCATGACGCATGAGCCTGTCGAGCTCTGCCCGCAAAAGAATTCGCCACCAGCTGTGGTGGGGGCGGAGACAAAAATAAAGACGCCTTCGCGCCCGGGGGGGCGGGCCCGCTCAATCACGTTGCGCGACTAACCACCCACCGACTTGTGTCGAGCACCGCAGCGAGCCGCCCTGGGCTCACTTTGGAGGCTCTTTTCTTTTTCATGGCTCTTCGTCGAGCCTGTTCCAACATTGACACACATGTGTTTTGTTGTTGCACATATGTACCGAGAAAAAGATTTTTGATCATTGTCGGCTTCCAATCCTCATATCTCCGAGCCCAAGACTCCTAACCACTTCCCCTCCCTGCTCGCCCAGGCCACGAAGCGCGTTGTCGGAATTTTTATTCCAATTTTTCGATCGACAGTGTCGGAGGTTTTTTTTGCCGAACCCGAACCCGAAATAAAAACCAGTCTTGCATATACAACCGCAACCTTCCAGAGTGTAGTAAAGTCAGCATCAGCACAAGGGCTAAGTGCCCCCCACCATCACTCACTGGCTCGTCCCAGTTCCATCACCATCAGCAGTATTCCACAGAGGAACAAAAAAGCAGTTAGTCACATCTCACTTACGACTTAGCATAGCAGCTGAGATTAGCATAGACTCATAGTCTCCACTCCAACTTTGATCCAAGGGCTCACACGTCGCTCTCAAGTCTTAATAATTTACAGCCGATAACGCTTAGAGACGGCTCTCGAGCTCGACGCGAACGGAGGTTTCCGGACGAGACTCAAGAACGTCAATGAGGGCTGCGAGAGAGAGCCTCGGGTGTGGCGCTACCATCGCTGGGATAGCTTCACATGCGCGAAGATAAAAGAGGGAATAGTCGTTGGATGCCTGCTCAAGGTGAGTGCTATGGCGAGCGATGACGAGGGGTTCGCGCTCAGCGTGACGAGCAAACTCAGGGAGTTCATGGCGCTCGGATACCCTGCACACGTGCTCAACGGGGTGATCGGGCGCGCGTTTGCTCGGACAAAGGACGAACGGCTCCTACGAGCAAGACAGTGTTCGCAGTGGTGAGGAGGTTTCTTGCAAAACCCTTACCCAGACGAACTAAAAATCCAAAAAGACACAGACAAATGTATTGTGTCGGGCTACCGTCCAAAGGCGGGTGTAGTCGACCAAGGGACCACGAATCTGGTCTGTCGACGGCACGAATTTGGGATGGGACTAGGGACCCGGCTGCGTGCTACTTGGATAGCACGCTTTCGGAGTACCGACGGCTAAGGCCGAGGCAGAAAAGGTTTCTGTTTTTTTTTCGCTTTTCTTCACAGGATTTTCCTGTGAAGAGAGACGTAGAGAAACAGATCTTTCAAACTTCGGTGTCGAACCACCAGAGAGCCCGACGCTCACTACAAGTGACTTGCATTTTAATCATTAAATGCCAAGCATCTTGGGATGCGAAGCATCTTCAGATGATTCGAGCATCCCAGGATGCTCCGGCATGTTAAGTTGAAAATACCATCTAGAGATGCTCGAGCATAGGCAAGACAGTGTGTGCAGTCCAAGTTAGTGGAGGGGGTGACTCGGGTGCATCTTTTAGGAATATTATCTCAAGATGCGCATATCATCTGTAGATGGGGGGGGTCGCTGCCCCTGACGTCTGCTCACTGCTGTCTCTGTGTCCGCGCGTTTGAGTCGTGCGTGCGCAGGGCTCCTCTTTGCTTTCTTCTACTCCCTACTATCATCTCGTTCCCGTCGTCTTACCAGAGAATTGGTTTTTTGCCCGCCTTTGGCTTTGCGAGATTTGTTGGTGCTTTCGGCTAAAAGAATGAACCGATCTATCGACCTTCCTTTCTAGCTTTGGATCCGAGGTTTCCTGCGCCCCGCTCTATCTCTCCACCTCCTCGGAGAGGCTGGCCGAGAGGGTGGAGCTGCGCCCATCTGCCCGGTCGCGGTGATGTCTCTCCGAAGGGGGCAGCCCGGAGAGAGGCACCGGCCGCAGCTCTCGCGACTCCGCGCGGCGGAGGATCTCGAGCAGGTTCTTCTCGATGGTGATGCAGATGGCCTCGAGCGGCAGGTCGTGCCTGGGGGGCAGCCGCGCCACGGGTCGCGGGATGTGGGATCCTGGCGGGCGGCGAGTGGAGACGGGCACAGCGGCATATGGAACTCTGCGCCGCGCGCCTCTAGCGGGTGTGGGCAAGGGGCGCAGCGCCGCGAAGCGCCCGGCGGCGGGAGAGAAGCGCTGGGAGAGGAGCGCGCGGCGGCGGGAGAGAAGCGCGCGCCTGCCGGTGCCAAAGGGGTGCTCGATCTCGATTCCGATGTTGTCCACCTTGAGCATGATGAACGAGACGACGGCGCAGACGGCGATGCTCGCCCACCTGCACTCGCAAGCCCCGGGTGCGTCGAAACGCGTTGCTCACGGCCGGAGCGGAAGCGGCGGCGCCCACCCACTGATGCGCTCGTCGGCGGTAGGGAGCGGGTGTAGTATCTCGCCGCTGTAGCTCGCTCGCCCGCATCTCGGCTACATCTCGCCGGTGCTCGTCGGCGATATGTAGCGGGTGTAGCTCGCCGCTATCTCTCGGCCGCATCTCGGCCGCATCTCGGCCGCATCGCGCCGGTACTCGTCGGCGATGGCGAGCGGGTAGGTGACAAGCCAGATGAGCATAAAGATGCGCTGCTGCGCCAGGTAGCCAAACGGCATCGGCGTCTTCTGGATGCGCTCGCAACCGCCGAGCGCGTCGACGAGCGACTTGATGTCGTTGCCAATCACAATCTTCCACCCCTCGTGCACCTCGGCGGCGGAGCCCTTTGCACCCACCGTCTCGTCTAGCTCGTCCCGCACGCCCGCCTGCTCGCGAAACCACAGCGCTCTGTCGCCGGGCGGCAACCCGCGCGCCGCCCCGCGCCGCCGCGCTATTCCGCGCGCGCCTTCATCTCGTCGACCATCATCATCGGGAGGTGGTCGTACGGCTCGCCCTGCTCGAGGAGCGCCTGCTCGTACTCGCTCGGCTCGAGGTGCAACGTCGGCCTCCTCCCGAGCGGCACCACGTACGGAGTCACCATCGCCGTGAGCATCTCTTCCGAGGCGAGCTCGGCGATCTCGTCCGAGGTTGGCCGCACGCCACGCAGCGACGCCTTTGTGCACCACGCAAAGCAGATCGTCGCCTTGATGACGCGCCGCTTCCGCTCGAGATCGGTCATGAAGACGGCGGCATTCGAGGCGACGTTGCGCGTCGAGTTGACGATCTGTCCCCAGAGCTTGCGCGCCTCCCACCAACGGTCGTACGCCTGCGACGTACGGAAGGCGAGCAGCAGCGACAGCAGGCCGAGCAGCGTGTCGTGCGCGTGGGCAGGAATGCGCCACCAGGAGGTTTGATTTTTGCCGTCCGCCGCCGCCGCCGCTGCGCCTCCAAAGAGCGACGGAGGGCTGTTGGAGAAGTAGATGTCGGCGAGCGTGACGGAGGTCGTGACTAGCTGGACCACCCACCACATCCGAGTCGGAAGATACTCGCGGCCGGAGACCAGCGTCTCGAACCACGTCTCGGTGTGCTGCAGCGTCGGCGACTCCTTGGCGATCCTGGCGCGGGCGTCGGCTCGAGAGGTGTAGATGTGAGTGGCCTGCCGCCGAATGACTGGCTTCGTTGTGGGCCGTGCCTCGACCGACCGCCGGATCGAGGTGAGCATGGCCAAGGTGCGAAGCCGATGTGGACGGCGAAAAAAGAATTCGCGCCCTCGCCTGGTTGAAAATTATCTCCCCCCTCCGTGTCGCGATGCGCTCCCCGCTCCCGTTCCCCTGTGTCCCTGATCGTCCTTACAAGATCCTGCTCGTGCAGGTGGGGACCCTGTCCTTCTCCCACCCCTCGTTTGGCGTGCCCGTTTTATTTATTTATTGAAAATTATGTGTGAGGCAAGTTTGGGGGGGCAAACCCTGCCCACCCCTTACAGCTCCAAGTAAGGCCCAGGTGTGGCCTAGGGCATCAGAAAGGGACCAAGAGGAGTCCAGTCTGAGCCAAAGAGCCCATGTCTTTGCCCCCGAAGGTCGCGTTCAAATGCCCGGAACGGACGTTACAGTGGTGTCCGGCCGGCGCGATCACCGAGCTGTGACGCTCAGGGAAGCCTAATGAGGTACTGGTTTCTTTGCCCAGGGCTGGCCTTCCCCCCAGGCTGGATCAGCTGGGCAAGGTTTGGGGAGAATCCTATAGTAGGATCTTCAGATATTTTGACGGAAGGCGCTCTCAAGAAATTTTCACCGGTGAGAATCGGCCTCCCGTCCTCCCATCCCTCCCTTGGTTCTCTTGAGCACTTGAGCACTGGATAGGGTCGATTCCGCATGGTACGGGACCCCTCTGGGTTCTCTGTTTTATTTCTTTTTCAGAATCGGCGAGGGACTGCGAAGAGAGATAGGAAGAGGCAGACGCCCAAGGGTGGGCGATGGCTAGCACCACACTCCTCTCCTTAAAATCCCTGTGTGGTGGCGAGTGCCGTCCTCCCATCCCTCCCTTGGGTGGTGGCTTTCTTTTCTGTTTTCCTTGGCGCGCACTGCCACTGGCACAAACACAGGTACACCACGGGAGCTGAGTGTCGACTGTCGTGCGAAAATAGAATTTGACGGAACTCTGACTGTTCAAACAAAAGGAGGAACTTTTACGTGACGCGAGCGAAGAAATGTCCTGCAGGAAATGTCGGGTCCACGCAGAGTCCAGACCCCCGGTCCCAGTGCTCGAACTTTACCGGTACAGTCTGTTGCGGGCATTAAGAAAACAGGATCTCGCGGCACGCCGCCGGTCTAAGCCTTTCCAGACACCCCACCCACCCAACGCCGTGGTTTCTTAGCTTCGGCCGGCACCCCGGGATCTAGGAAGCTTTAGGTAAAATGACAATAAGGAAGCGCTGGACCGATGCGCCAGTCAGCAGTCTGCCACCCACTTGGGAAGACAGGATAGACGCACACACCTCCATCCACACTGCCTAGAACACCGCAGACTTGGGCAAATGACAAGTGCGCGCGCCGCACAGGCGAAGAGAAAATTTGAGCGGGGCTCCTATTCACACTCGTGTGTGGGCCCTTTTTCGGGGCCGCGCCTGCGGCGCGCCGTGGTTTCTTAGATTTTCGCGGAAATCGCTCGGTGTATGGTTTCTTATATAATGCGACGTTTTCTTAATGCCCGCAACACCAACAGACTGTATGGGAGTTTTTGGCTAATCAAACCCTTTACCTGCACTAAACCATACCACGCCAAACTTAATCAAAACACCACCAAATACCGGTCTCATACCGGTAAAGTGAGATTTTTTGTGGGCCGCGGTGATCCCCCGGGTGCAGAGGTAAGGTATAAGGTAAAGGTAAGGTAAACTTCTCGTCCACACACACACGAGGTGGTGGGGCAGGGGGGGGCGACCCTCGCGTCTCCACGTCTAACGACAGGAGCCCCGCACGGCATTCAAAGTGCAAGGCCCAGTGCGCGTGGGTAGGCGGTGAGTGTTTGTGTGTGTGTGTGTGTGTGTGTGTCGTGCTCTGGGGGCGGCGGGGGCCCCCGGAGGCACCGTGCGCCGCGCCGCAGTGCGGAAACGGGGCCCCGGCTCCACTAGTCTCCACTAGCACCGACTTCCCGATTAAGCTAGGTTAATCAGAGGGCAGATTTGGAAAGATCTCGAGGAGTACATACAGATAGACCCTCCAACCATCAGAAAACTCCGACCTGATCGGTCGTACTGACCGCCGACAGATCACTGCAGACAGCAGCAGAGAGCAGACAGGCCGACGTCTGCACGCGGTCGGCCGGGCGAGAGGCTTGACACGATCCGACCCTGCGACCCTGACGCTGCTGCTCTAGCTATCAGACATGCACTACTGACTTCTGCCACAATGTGCGACCGGTGCTGGCCCACTTGGCATTGCGTCAGAAGCGTGCACGCGGCTGGAAGGACACCTTCCTACTGGCCGTACGATCAGGTCGTCACTGAATGCTTGATACTAAGGCCGCGAGCTATGCAGGTGGTCAATTGCGCAGCGGGGCACGGTCAGCAGCGCCGACAGGCTGTCGCAAGGCGTGATCGCATGGCCGCAAGTACGCCGAATTCCCATGAAAACCCTGTCAGCACACGCTAGTCCACCCTCGGGTATGTTCGTAAGAGCCACATACACTGAAAACAAGTAAAAAATCACGCAGGGAGAAAAAAATCCCGAAATATTCGGCGCCTGCGGCGGGCCATCTCCCCCCCCGCATGGGTACCCTCTAGAGCCCCCGCCCCCCCCCCCAAGAGGTGTCCGGCGTGTGCGCAGAGACGCTCCGTGCAGAGAGAGGGACGCTTCCTTCGCTTCGTGGTAGGCAGTGGTACGTCCTACGTGGAGCCGTGTGAAGCGGCCCAACGTTTTCTCATATGAAGAGCCCCAACGGGAGCGGAAAGTTGTTCACATGCTCTAAACCTCCGTCTAAGAGCACTCTGAAGGCCGAGCCGCGTACCAGACTTCTTTCGGTCGCACTTCACACAGGAATCGCATGGGACCTGTGCCTGTGTGTCGATGGTGGGTCCTTAGAAGAAGCCGCCCGCCTTGGCGGTGATGAAGAGGATGCCGAGGTGCGCAACGATTTGCGGCTTCCAGATGGCAGTGAAGTTGGCCGTGTCCATAACGCACAGCACCATCGGGTACAGGATGAGGGCAGCCGTAATTGCCATCTGCTTGCACAGCGACTGCGACGGGCCGTCGAGGAAGTGCATGGCGGCGATGCCGGTGAGCATGGCGCCAAAGGCCTTGCCGAAGAAGGTTTGGGCCACCGGGCCGAGCGCGGTCGAGAAGTATGGAAGGAACCCGCTAGGGCCGAAGAAGAGGTCAGGGTTTGCCATCAGCGTCACGCCAAAGCCGCCATTGTAGAGGGCGCCGATCAGCGAGGTTTGCTCAAGCGTGAGGCCGCCGCGGAGAGTGAGCGTCTTCTGGAGGCTGGGCTTGACGGCGGGGCGATCCACCTGCGATCCGAGGGCGCGCGTTCCGCCGCCTGCAAGGCTGAGGCGGCAGCGGAGCGCGCGCGTGCGCGTGCGTGCGTGCGTGCGTGCGCATTCTGCCTGCAAGGCCGAGGCGGCAGCGAGCGACGAGATGACGACGAGAATCTTCAGCATTAATACATTGTACGAGTATGTGGAAAGGGAGGGAGGGGGATGGGCTTCGGCGAACACCGAAACCGGTGATCACCCGAGAAAAAGAAAGTAAATGGCCACCTGGCTAGCAACCACACTTAAAATCCCTGTGTGGTGGCGGCGTGCCGTTCTCCCATCCCTCCCTTGGGTTGTCTGTTTTCTTTCTTTCTTTTTAGCAACCACACTCCTCTTGAGCACTTGAGCACTGGATAGGGCCGATTCCGCGTGGTACGGGACCCCTCGATCGTCTCGCCCCCTCACTCTGCACACTGGTGTGTTCATTGGGGGGGGGGCATAACAAACACGGTACAGGATCGAGGTGCACGCTGCCGAAGCAGTGTCGTCCCCCCTCTCCCCAACGGCGATGGCGGTGTGACCGATCGAGCTACAAGAGGAGCTTGTTCAGCAGGATCAGGACCGTCGGATGCACTACCTCACTGGGCCTGAGAACATCGCGCGACCAGCCCCTCACCACTCCGGGTTTGCGTGGAGTCGAACCACTCCGGTATGGGCGAGCCCATTGATTTGAATCGAGTCCTTTCTCGCCTGCGGGAGGCAGTGGGGGGTATGTACTCTGCTCCTAGCGGGTTGGGGGAGGGCGCGGAGAGCGGGGCGGGGGGAGGGGGTCAGGCAGGGTCTTTCCATCTTGTTAATTGTCAAAATTCCTGTTGTGCAAGAGGGGAGGGGGCTCTGACGGAGTGCGTGGCGGGAGAGGGCAGGGAGTGGGCGCGGGGGGAGGGGGGGGGGGGGGGCTCAGCCGTGCAAAAAGCATCAGTTAATAATAGTAAGGAAGACATGTTGCCCGGCCGTTCAAGAAGTCCGTCTCGATTTCCGTTTTTCCCCCACAGACCACTCGGGCAACTTTTACGAAAGGCAAAGTTTTACTTGACCACTCGGGCAGATTCGATTGCATTTTACCACTCGGGCAAACTCGATGAAACGGGCGGACGGAAACGCGTTTGCGACGGCTCGCCGGAGAGCATGCATGGAGCGGCCGGTGCGCCGCCGCAGCTCACCGATGGAGCCTGCATCGCGGCTCAATCCACTGACGTAGCAGCACTGCGACACACTCTCCAAGCACGGCCTCTGGCGTTGCGATTGCACAGAGAGCGAGCAATAGGCGCCAAAAGCACAGATCTGTGTGCAGTGGATTTCCATGTAGGTCGCGCCCAGCGAGCGGACAGCCGCGGGTCTCGGATGCTCTCCCGGACGCGAGCCCATCGTGCGAGTGGCGGACCCGGAGGCGGCCGGCCCAGCTCACCCCCAGAGAGGCCATGGCCAGGGTCAGGCATAAAAGGGGGGTGTTTTTCCGTCCGTCCTTCGCTTCCTTAAAATCCCTGTGTGGTGGCGGCGTGCCGTCCTCCCATCCCTCCCTTGGGTTGTCTGTTTTCTTTCTTTCTTTCTTTTAGAAAAAATCTTTATTCGAGGTGTACCTGTGTTAGTGCCATTGCGCGCCAGTCCCGTGCGTGCCCAGTGTAATAAATAGAGCAGTCACCTCCAGTAAGTAGAGATGGGCGACGCACGAACACAGTGCGCACCCCGCCCCGCTCGCAGGGCGCTGGGCGGGCATCACACAGGTGGACTGTGAGAGAGAGATTTTTGAAGACCAACAAGAAATCACGACTCTCACAGAGATTTGGGCTCGGCAGCTTGTTAGCCCTCAGCGCCGAAGCTGGGGCCGGTCCCGTAGCCGAGAGAGCCCGCGCCGTTGAGTTCGACGCGGTGGGGGGCCTTGCGGAGAGGCCAGCGAGGTGGCGATCGCTGTACTTCATGGTGCCCTCGGTGGGGCGGCTGACAAGCCAGAGGTCGATACTCTGGACGACCCATAGGAATTCCACAAATGCCTGGAGGAGAGGGAGGCGAGGCCAGAGGCAGGCTCAGCTGCTCTCAGGTGATCTCGCTTTGGTGGCTGAAGGACCCGATGGTCCTGTCACATTCGTGTTCACTACCCCGAGCCGCCAGCGCTGGTGGCTCTCGCCCCTCCGTGCCCTCCCCCCCCATCGCGCCCAGCCCATCTCTCACCACTGCCCCCACCGAACCGCGCGGGCGGCCGCACACGCCACGAATGGACCGCGGGCCGCGGTTGGACACGGCAGCGCCCCACGTGGCGCCGCCTGAATCTGCCTGGAGAGAAGCGGGATCTAGTTGGATGGGCCGTGCGACGCGTCGCACGGCCGTGGGCTTCCATGGACAATAAAGGGAACTCGGGTGGATGTTGGCATGACATGCCAAGAGGGCCTCCTGCTGTGGCGCCCACGGGCGCCACGATAAGGTGTGAGCGATGACCGGGAGACGAGCCGCTCTCGCCTAACGGCCAGCGCTGCTCCGTCGGCCCGCCTCATACGAACCACCTGAAAATCCCTACCAACATCCGTGTGTGTCCATGTCGTCGCCCCGCGAGGGACCCTCCGGGTCCGGCGCGGAGCGACGGGAAGCCCACAGAAACAAAGCCTCCAGCTAATAGACTCCGTGTTATCCTCCAGATAGAGAAGTGTCTAACAACCGAGAGGCGGAGGAGAAGAGGGGCTCAGTCTCTTTCTGTGCAGCACTCCATACCCGTCCGGCGACAGCAGGAGCGCCCTCTCCGCCACCCGCGAAGCGGCGCGCGCACCCCCCCTCCGCTGCGCGTCGCACCCTTACCTTACCCCCCCTCCCCCCCCGCCCCCAAAACCGCCGCCGCCCGCCGCCGCGCCCCGGCCCTCGTGCCGCTGTTGTGTGATCGCCTTCTCACGATGGGCTGCTTCTCCAGCCGCGTCGAGCCCTCGACCGAGGAGCGGCTCAGCGCTCCCGCCGTCGAACGCGACGCCCCGACGCTCGCCGACACCGCCACGCCGACGCAGCCGGCCGCCGCCTTCCCCTCCGCCCCCGATCTCGGCGTGAGCGAGAAGAAGCTGGAGCTGTGGCACGAGCGCGGCGGCGGCGACCTGGAGCCGGTCCTCGCGAGCGGCGCCGTCGCCCTCCTCAACGCGGTGGCACCGGCTTCTGCAGCAGTAGCACCGGCTACTGAGGCGGCTGCTGAGGCGGCGGCGCCTTCGGCTATGGAAGCGGTACCAGCTACCGAGGCGGCCTCTTCGGCTCCTGCTGCGCTGACACCCGCTGAGGAGGCAGCACCACCTGACACAAAGCCCATCACCAACGGATGGGATGCGCAGGCGAACAAGCCCATCATCGTCGGCTACGCGCCACCCGCTCCCCGGCCTGACTGGCTGCCGAAGTCTGGGCCGGGTCAGAAGAACGTCGGACCGCTCTGCTGGTCGCTCAGTGTCGAGCAGTGGATTTTCTTTGTGCGCGCGTGCGTTGCCACCGACACCTGGAAGAAGCTCGCTGAGGTGAAGGGCGGGTACGAGATCACCATGTACGACGTCAACGACCACTTTGTGAAGCCGTGGACGCAGGGCACAGGATGCTCCATCGCGCTCCTCATGAATACAGCCGAGCAGCTGCCAGTCGAGGGCATGCTCTCGCACGCGTGGGCGGGCTCCGTCGTCGAGACGTACAACTGCCTGCTGAATATGGTCAACCACTCCGGCGTGCCCAAGACAGCGCGATTCTTCTTCTGCACATTTTCGATGTATCAGCCGCAAGACGGAGCGGCGGGCGGGCTCTCAATCTCGGAGCAGATCGAGCTCGAGCCCTTCGCCAAGATCATCGAGTCGAAGCCCACGCACGGCATGTTCGTGCTCCACACGACCGTTTCGGAGGTCTACGATCGGCTGTGGGTGGCGCACGAAGCGGATGAGGGCATCAACGCAAAGCTTCAGATGCGTGGGCTCTTCGATGTGTACCGGTGGACCGTCGAGAAGTTTGAATCCGCCGCCGCCGTCAAGACGAGTGAAGGCAGGTGTGGCGTGGAGAAGGATCGCGCTTACATCGAGGGACTGATTCAGCGGCGTGGTGGCTACGAGCGGCTGGATGGCGTGATTGCAAAGTTTCGCAGAGAGATGAACAAAGCGCTGATCTTGCTGCTTGAATCAAAGCCGGTCTTTAAGAATATAGAGCCACCCCCCAATGCATGGGCAGATTCATCGGTGAGAAAAACAGAGCATCACTACCTCGACTGGATCACTCGAGGTATGCAAGGTGAGTTACAGAATTATGCTAGTGATGGCTACCCTCAAGGTCCCCCTGTAGAGGTTAGTTGGTCAGATACCGATTGGAAATTTGCATGCCAATGGAGTGCAGACATATATGGCGCACTGTATCCTTTGGGAGATGCAAGCTACCCTCTTGGGGTTCCGGGTGGGGGTTGTATGTCTTCCTGGGCTAGAGATGTGTTTGATGAAGACGACTCGAGGGCCGCAATTGAGGGCTGGCGATTCAACATGCAGCGTGGTCTTGTCTATCCTGGCGTGAAGGTAATTGGATGGCGTGAAGGTAACAAGAGTGCTCCTATTCGCCAGCCCTCTTCATTTTGTCGCCTGTGAGGTAGTACTAGTATGTTTGTAACTAGTGAGAGCATTTGGGTTTGGGGAGGGCGCGAGTGGGAGACTTTTCGGCGGGCGAAATGCGGCGGTTTGGATGCGTCCTCTCGTGGGACGACCTGTTGGGACGACCTGTCGGCTCTGAGGGCGAGGATTGATTGATGGGAAGGCAAGGTAGGGCTGGCGTGGGGGGCCTCAGACGCTGCGGGGTTCGCCAGCCCAGAAGAAGTCGCGATCAGCCACGACGGCAGCACGCTGTTGGTCAGTTCGTACGGTGGCCTCCGCCAGGTCTGCGTGGCGGCGCCTCCTCCTCCTCCCTCCTTTGCCCCGATCGTCGTTCCGCCTTCGACCCCTTGGAGCTGACCTCGCAAAGACGTGGGGCGACGCCTCCCTGCCAGAGGGGAAAGTCACCTTCCTGGTCGGCGACGACGACGAGCGCATCGAGCACGTGAGCAAGTGCGTCCTCTGCGCCCGGTCCCCGGTCTTTCGGACCATGTTTGGCATCGGCATGAAGGAGCGCGACGCCGCCGAGGTCACGGTGCCCCACACCGACCTCGCCAGCTTCACCGCCCTCGTCCGCTACCTCCTCACCGACCAGTTCGACCTCGGCGAGGAGGGCGGCAGGGCGCAGCGCGCGCTCGACCTGCGGGAGCTGGCGCAGATGTACCAGGTGCCGCGCCTCGAGCTGCTCTGCGCGCAGGCGCTGCAGGAGAGCGTCGCGCCGGCGACCGCCGTGCCGCTGCTCGAGGCGGCGCACACGATGGGCGACGGGCGTCTCCTCGCGCAGTGCCGCCGCTACGTGGCCGACCACGCCGCCGAGGTGCGGTCGAGCGGCGGCGTGGAGCAGCTGCGCGACTTTGGCGTGGCCAAGGGGCTGCTCGGCGACGCGCTCGACCAGGTGGCGGAGCTCAAGGGGACGGTGGCGGCGCGCGACGCGGAGCTCGAGAAGGTCCGAGCTGAGCGGGCATGATCGAGGGGCAGCGCCCCACGCGCCGCTCGCTCTCGCCGTTTGGCACTACAAGTTGTATAGTGAGAGCAGTGGGTGAGAGCGCAGCCAGAGCGCAGCGCGCCGTGTACAGGGAGCGCGCTCCCGCACACCGTTTTGACTTCCCGGTACGTTCGTGATTTGATCGTTCAGATAGATAGATAGGAAGGCGACACACACACCCGCGCAGGCGGCGGCGCACGCCCCCCCCGTGTCCCGAATCCATCAGCGTTGTTCGCGGCGCAATAACGAATAAGCCTGGATCCTGCTGAACAAGCTCCTCTTGTTAGTAGCTCGATCGGTCACACCGCCATCGCCGTCGGGGAGATAATTGTACCGTGCTAGGTCTCGGGGGACGCAGGGGTCAGCCCCGCGCGACCTCGGGAACTAGCCGGGGCAGTCGGAGAAGGGGCAACTCCGCGCACTGACGGTCGGCCGTCAGAAAACACGCCTCCGTGGCTCGGGTTACACCAATCCTCGCTACCCAACGCGGCCAATGGATATCCACCTCGAGAACCTCGAGAGGCGGTGCTTGTTCGTCTTGGGCCCGTTGTGTTTTTGGATGGAGTCGGGAGATCTTGCTCTGGAGGGCTGCATATCTAGCCTCACTGGGAGCCTGCCTTTGGGTCATGAGGGCAGGGGCCAGGCATCTCCTGTGGTGCATTCTTGGCAGCCAAGGAGCAAAGCACGCGGCCCTGGCCAGCCAGCTGTGGTGTGGCTGGGAAGCCGTGCTAAAGTTGCGTGCCCGCACTAAAGATGCGGGACCCACACTAAATGTACTGCAGCTGCCCGCACCTAAAGTGAACTAAATGTGGCGCTAAATTGGAGATAAAACATACTAAACATGTGCTAAATATGTGCTAAATATGTGCTAAATATGTGCTAAATATGTGCTAAATATGTACTGAATTGCGCTAAATTTGCGCTAAAGTCGCACTACACACGCACTCGAACACACACTAAATAGCGCACTAAACTATCACTAAAGTTCATTCACACGCACTGTGAGAAGTGGTTCGCACGACAAGAGCCCTCCGCGCATCCCGTCGCGCTCTCCACTCCGAGGTCGTGTTGCGTCGCCGGCCTGCCGCCAACCAGCCGGTCTGCCTCTCTTGCTTTGACCCGCGGCCTCAGCCGCTGCCGCCCCGCACGCCTGCGCCGCACGAGGTCCTCTGTCGCACAGTCTACCTCAGCGTCGACCCATTCCTGCGTTGCCGCTTCAACGCCAGCACGGGAGTGGACTATACGCAGCCGTATGCGCTCGGCGAGCCCATCGCGTCCGCCGGCATCGGCGAGGTCCTTCAAGTCGGCGACGCCGTGAGAGGCCTGGCGCCCGGCGACCTCGTCGTCGAGCCGTTCGACTCGTTCCCGTGGCAGAGCGTCGCCGTACTGGAGGCTGCCAAGGTGCAGCGCGTGCCGCCGCTCCTCGCGCTTCTGCTCCCGCCGAGTGCGCTGCTGGGCGCATGCGGCCAGACCGGTCTGACGGCTTGGTGCGGGCTTGAGACGGTCGGCGGCGGGCGGCCGAACGGGTCGGACGTGGTCGCCGTGAGTGGCGCGGCCGGCGCTGTCGGCTCGCTCGTCGGCCAGCTCTGCAAGCGGCGCGGCGCGGCGGTGGTCGGCGTGTGCGGCTCCGAGGCCAAGGTGGACTTCTTGCAGGAGCTCGGCTTTGACCGCGCGCTCAACCGGCACTCGGCCGACCTGCGGGCGGATCTGCGGGCCGCGCTGCTCTCCGTGCCGCAGGCGGACCGCGCCCTCGGCACGTCCCGCTCACCGCAGCCGGCGGACATCACGCTATACTGGGACAACGTCGGGGGCGCCGTGAGCGACCTCGTGATCCAGTGCATGGCGCCGAGGTCGGAGCTGCTCCTCTGCGGCCAAATCTCGACCTACGACGCGGAGGGCGACTACCCGCCCCCGCTGCCCGCGGAGAGCGCGGCGGTGGTGGAGCGGCGCCGCATCCGCAGGGAGCGATACACCGTCGTCAAATACAAGCACCGCTTCGCGCCCGCTCTCGCCGAGTTGTGCGCTCTCGTCGCCGCCGAGGCGAGACGCCGCGGCCGCCGCGACGCCGCACCGGTCGGCGGCCGCCGCCCTCACGCCCGTCGCCATCCGCCTTCAGGAGCTGCGCGCCGAGGAGACGGTGTACGACGGGCTCGACGCGGCGCCGGCCGCCTTCATCGACATGATGGGCGGCGGCAACACGGGCAAGGCTGTCGTGCGGTGCTCGGAGCTGCCGCCGCCCGTCGCGCGTGCGGCTGCGCTGCGCGCTTGGCTCCCGCCGGCGCTGAGGGGACGGCTCGCGCGGTCGTTTGTGACGCCCGAGGCGTTGGGCGTCGGGTGATGCCCTTTTTTATTTTGAGCGCGCGCCTTCGAATAAGAATACTTGGAGCACTTGGAGTGCAGTCAGGAGTCACATTACGTTATATAAGTTATAACCCCGCGCACATCCAGACACCAGAGTCCAGAGGGCCGGGGGGCTAAAGGGTGTGGATGCTGGGTTGGCACCGACGACGACGAGCCGCAGGCCTTTGCGCTGCGCTCCGTCGCTCTGATGAGGGACAGTGTCTGGTGGATGACGCGGTGTGAGGAGTTTAAATCGTGGTAGCTGGCAGAGGGGTGAGCCAATCCCTGCCGCTGCCATACACGGGTGGGGGGTCCGAGCCCATAACCGCACGAAATGTGCATGGCCCTCAGCAATCCGTGTTCGATCGGCAACGCCCGTGCCGCTGCTCTGTGTCTCGTTAGAATAGGCAATGAAAACGGCGCCCGCTCTCGTCGCATGTGCGCCGGTTGACATATCATGTATGTGGCTCTTTTATGGATAACAAGGAGTCTCGTTTTCAACTTTTTCTTCTTGTATATGAGCCCGCAGCCCGCGGCTTCCTCGCGCGTTTCGCGCTCCTTAACGGTCTCTCTCTCGCCAGCCCTCAACTGTTCAGTAGAATTTGCTGCAACTGGGCAGATTCATGGGGTATCATGCTGTCCTCATCAGGTGTCTGTGCCGCAGCGTAGGCGAGACTCTAATCTCTATGCCTCGGCACCCCCATCGAGGCAGCTCGCGAGGTGAAGCTTGCCAGCAAGGGTATTGTTGCCTACACCAGCAGGCAAGGGAGCACTATGGTGTGAGCCTGCCAGCACTGGTGCGCAAGCCAGATCAGTACAGTCGTACCGGGCAGCAATGAAGCGCGTTGGGTGCCCGCGCCGGATGCAGTGCTAACGCGGCAAGCTTGGGCCGCATCAGCAGATGCGTGAGGCGGTGCGGAAACCGTTGTTTCAAGGCCACCTGGTAGGCTCACTCCTTCCCATCCCAGAGGTAGAGGGCAAGGAAGGTAGTCGATACCCTCGCCACAGATGGACATTTTCATTCAGTGTTATGTGCTACTTTCAGATACGTAGGAGGACTCTGCTGACGGGGTATTTTAAAGCCCAAGAAAGAAAGAAGCAGGATTGTAACGCCCTCCGCCCATGCACATTGTTTTCCGCACTTTCCGCATATTCCGCAACCGGAATAGTAAACGGCAACTTGGGCAATTGTCGGACTCTCCCATTCTGTAGCGTCAAAGCGCAGCTGCCTCGTGGCTCGTGGCGCATGGTGCATCCTGCCCGCTCCCCCGCAGCTACGCTGCTGGTGATTGATGTCGCACGCGCATGCCCACCCTCACGGCACCCACGCCATACCCGCGCGCTGACAACACATACCTGACATGCGCACTGCACCGACATCCAGCCAGGCTCCCGCGTCGACGTTGACGCTAACGAAGAGAGGCGCGTTGAGCCGGGCAAGGAGCACGTCTCACTCACACCACCACTGACGGCCTCCCACTTCTCGGCCGCAGCTTTTCACAACGTGGTACCTTCGGCTCCTCGTCGCTAGCATCATCTCAGCGAGTACACCCTGCCTCTCGCCGTTTGCCCTGGCGAACGTGGCCGTGCTGATTGTCTACCGCCGCGTGGCTGTGCGAGATCTAGACGTGCACACCCCGCACGCCACTCGGCTGTGCTTGCGCAGCAGACGGCGTGGGCGGCTGCGCAGGCCCCTGGCCGCGGAGGAGGAGGCTGGCCCGTCTGGCGGTGTGCTGGCGGTTGGAAGTAAGAGGGAGAGGGAGAGCTCGCCCTCCACGCGGCGCACCATTGGGGGCGCTGCGGACTATTAGGCCTCGTCGCACATCGCGCGCATTCTGGATTGTCTTATTTATCTGAGGTTAAAATATCCATTTGAAAATGCTTGCCACATCTCGGGGATGGCGACGCCAATTCAGCCATCCTGAGATGCAGCGCCCTCCGGCCAGCATCTCAGGATGTAATGGCTCAATCAGGGATGTCGTGGACATCTTTGGTTGCCTCAGGCATCCCAAGATGCATGAAGCAATTCAGGATGCGCGAAGCAATTCAGGATGCGCGCGCATCCTGAATTGCTTCATGCATCTTGGGATGCTCGAGGCAATCTCAATTAGAATGGAGATCGTATCGGGCAATTTCAGATGCCTGAGCATTTCAAATTGCGGGTTCCCCGCCCCTGACGACCTGCTTCAACCTGCTCAAGCTGCCAAACTTCAAGTCGAGGGCGGTGCTGCGCGAGCGGCTCCTCTAGCTCTACGCCATCCGGTCCGCCTCGGGCTTTGAGCTTTCGTGAGATGTTGTCAACTATTTTGGTTTTTGTGTGATGTGTACGTGTACGTAGGCTTCTTCTCAGAAAAAAAGCTTCATGCGTCACGGGGGCCGAGCGCTTGCATTGCCAGGTGGCGGGCGCGATCCGCTCCGAGCTCCCGCGAAGTCGGCACTCGAGCAGACAACAGCGCTGCCAGCTGTGCGGATGCGGTCGGGGCGGTCGATAAATTAATGCGGCCACGCCGATTCGGGATGGTATGCCATCCCGATCCATTCGCGCCGTCAAAAGCGGCGTTTGCCTCGGCCCAGGATCTGTAGCCGAGCCTCTTCAGCTCGGCTTCCTCCTCCTCCTTGCTCACTGCCAGCTTCGTGCGGCGCCCGCCGCTGGCGAGGAGTTCTTGCAGGAGCATGTTCGCCTTGTCGATAGCCTGCTTCGAGCCTCGCAAGTGGACGACGTCGCTTTCGACGGAGATGCTAGCGCCGGAGTCCGCTTGCAGCTGGCGGATAGTGGCGCCGCCTCGGCCAATGATGACAGCTTTCTGCTTTGCCTTGATCGGCACCTCGCGCCCGCCGCGCCCGCCGCGCGTTCCCGGCTCGCCTCGGGGCTTGGCGCCCAATGGCACCGACAATGGTGGTGTGGCCTGCTTAGTCTCCGTCTTGGGCCCAGTCTCCGTCGTGGCGCCGTCAGCCTCGTCCTCTTGCGGCTGCAGCGCCGCGAACGTCGACAACGAGTGAACCGCCGACAGCGCCTCCATCTTCCGCTGCATCTCCGCCTGCGTGGCCGCCGCCTCCTCGCCGCCCGCCGCCTCCTCGCCGCCCGCCGCCGCGTCCCTACCGTGCGCGCCGCCCTTGCGCCCCTTCTTGATCACCACGAATCCGCTGCGTGCGCTGCTGGCCGACTCGCCCGCCTTCCCTGCCGACGGCGCGTCAGCCTCCACAGCCAGCTCCAGCATCCCCTTGAGATAATTCTGAGCAGCGTGCAGTGATGCAGTTGCCTCGGCCGTCATGTCCTCCTTTTTCTGCCACTCCTTCGACCCCCTCTTCGCGCTGGGTGTGGAACGGCAAAACTGGTAGCGCGACTGCCACTCGGCGACGTTAGTCTGTGCGTCCGCCTTCGCCAGCATGAACTCCTTCTGGATGTCCGCGCGCTGCGATGCGGACAAGCCGCCCGGCATCCAACACTTGAACTTCTCAGACTGACCCTGCTCCTTGCGCACGTCATAGTCGATGATGAGATGGCTGCAATGAACCTTGACCTCTTGTCTGAGGCCGTCCACGCCCATCTCGAGCTCCACAAAAACCGACTTGTCTGAGTTGGGCACATACTCGCCAGCGACACCCTTCTTGCCCTCGTACTCGCCGGCAACGATGAGCACGTTGCGGCCGTCGAAATCCATGACGCGCTCGAGCTCATTGACAAGAACCTGGAACTGCGCCCGCAGCCCCTCCTGCAGCCCAAACACCATGGGCAGCCCCTTCAACTTGTCGCGCTCGATACGCGCCCTACGCAGCTCGTCGAGTCTGTGGCCGAGGCGCTCCACGCGCATCGCCTCCTCCTCCTCGCGCCTCCACGCCTCGGCTGTCTCCGCCTCCCGCCGCCGCGCCTCCTCCACCTCAGCCTCCTGGGCCAGCCGCGCAGCCTCAGCCGCCGCCGCCACCGCCGCCGCCTCCGTCTCCGCCTCCTCCGCCTCCGCCTCCAGCACTGTGATCTCCGCCTCCAACGCAGGAATTCTGGCTATCTTCTCCTCCTGCTCTGCGCTCAAACCAACGGCGCCGACGATGATGGAGCTGTTCTGCCGAAGCTTCTTCTTCGCGTTGCGAAGACGCCGACGCAAGGTGTCCGCCGCGTCGCGCGCGCTCGTCACTCGCAAAACGCGCGCGACCTCTTCAGCCTCGTACGCCTGCAAGAGCTCCGAAAAGCCGCCTTTGGACGAGTCAGCGGCGCGAGAGGCATCGGGAGGCGACGGCGGAGACGGCAACGTCAAAGAGGCGGCAAAGGCGTCAGAGGCGGCGGCGGCAGCCGCAGGAGAGGCGGCGACAGGAGCGTCGGTGGCGGCGGACTCGGTGGCGGTGGGTAGCGGCGGAGGCGATGGGGCAGCGTCAGGCTCGAACATGGCTGCAAGCGAAGCGGACTGCTTCTTCTGCCGCCGCTGCTGCCGCCGCTGCTGCTTTTGCTGCTCCTGCTGCTGCTCCTTCTCCCGCTGCTGCCCGTACTGCTCCTTGGCGGCGTCCGACTCGAACATGCCGGTGACGGCCACCTCCCCGTCCGGCGAAGTGACGAGGCGAAAACCGTTGTGAACGTGCCTGACCTTGCCGTCGGGCTGCACGTACTTGCTCCCGTGCTTCTTTGCGCTCTTGGCCAGCTTCGTGTCGAACCCCCGCTCTCCTTGGCGTTCCCGGAAGTGGTGTGTCTTTTTGACATTTATCGACGAGGTGCGGCAGGACGTCGTCTCCTCGAACGAGATGTTTTCGCACACGAAAGCATCGTTGGCCGGCAGGCCGAGCATGCCGCACACCTTGTTGCACTAAGGAAGCGGCGAGGGCGGCGGTGATTGCGCAGGCGGGGGCGGCGACGGCGGAGGCAGGGGAAGTGGCTGGCTGGGCGGCAGCGGCGGGTGGAGGTCAACACACCTTGTGGCTCCGGAGAAAATCGGCGATGCCCTTGTCGCCGCGGTCTGTAGCGCCAAAGAGCGTCTTGCGCCCGACCGAGGAGTGGATGACGGGGTCGTTGAGCTGGGTGGGGGCGGAGGTTGGGAGGGCGGAGGTTGGGGAGGGCGGAGGTTGGGGAGGTTGGGAGGGCGGAGGTGGGGAGGGCGGAGGTGGCGAGGGCAGTGAGGCGAGGGCAGTGAGGCGAGGGTGACGGCGAGCTCGGCAGAGGCGGGCCGCACACCTCAAACAGATTCTCGCGCTGCTTGAAGTGGCCCTGCACGTCGCAGAGGAGCACCGGCCCGACCACTCCGTCGTAGTTGATCTCGTTGCCCTCGTGCGCGTATGTCC